TGGCCCTCCTTTGGCGTTTGGAAGTGTTGTCATTTCTAGATATAGCGCATCGTGTTTTACAACTAAACCTATTCGTTGCCGCGTGGATTTTAGTATGGTAATACTCTGTTTCTAATACAAGGGTAATACTCTTCATACATGTATGATTATCAGACGTGTTGTGACTGCATGAGAAAGTGTCATTTTCTTCACACACTATGAATGTTGAAAATATATTGTAATACCATACGTAAAGAATACATATTACTGGCATCTTATAAGATGTGCACCTTAGTTGCGACGTCGAAAGATCATTAATGATGAATCAAACGACGTCTTTTGGCAAGCCTTTGAGAAAGGTATACCCTATATCTTATAATATGATTCCATAGCCAATATCCCTCTAAAGACACTAGTATAATGCGATTTTGATTATTGTTTTGTCTCTCTTCATTAGGTAAGGTCACCGCGTATTTAAGTCGGCGGGACTTCGTGGACCACATCACCCACACCTCCCCCGTGGACGGTGTGGTTGTTGTGGACCATGATTACCTGCGAGGAAGGAGGGTCTTCGCGCGCGTGGCGGTCACCTACCGCTACGGTCGCGAGGAGGATGAAGTCATGGGACTTCACTTCAGCAAGGAGCTCGAGCTCGTTAACACCGAGGTCGCTCCCCATGCTGGAGACGTCCAAATGACCGATGTCCAGGAACGACTCATCAAGAAGCTGGGTGCCAACGCCTACCCCATCAGCGTGACACTTCCCCAGAACGCTCCCTGCTCTGTCTCTCTCGACAGCGGGAATGAGGATACCGTACGTGTGCCATTCACTCCACATTTACTTATTTTAGTCAAATTAGATCAACGCTTTATTAATCAAAATGAAAAATTACCTACATCTAGCACAGTTTGCAATTCCAAACTGTACTAGCAAATCATTTTTGTTTCTAAATCCACTATAACACCGACTTCCCTCACTTTCCTGCAGAGCCAGCCTCTTGGTGTGATCTACGATCTCAGGCTGTACGTTGCTGACCGCAAGGAGGAACGTCCTCACAAGCGGAACTCCGTCGGCTTTGCTGTCCGAAAGGTCCAGTTTGCTCCTATTGAACCCAGCAATCGCCAGCCCCAGACCCTGGTAAGCAAGAGCTTCACGCTCTCTCCTGGCAAGCTGAACCTCGAGGTCACCCTGGACCGTGACGTCTACTTCCATGGCCAGAATATCGATGCTCGTCTGTCCATCAACAACGTCTCCAAGAAGACCGTGAAGAACATGAAGGCTGAGGTTGTGCAGCATGTGGAGGTCACCATGACCAACAATCACTTCAGCCGAGTCGTGGCTTCACTCGAGTCTCGCGAAGGATGTCCCATCACCCCAGGATGCAACCTCACCAAGACCTTCTCCCTCAACCCTGTAGCCTCCGTCAACAAGCGACGCTTCGGCATCGCCCTCGACGGCCAAATGAAGGACCAGGACGCCAACTTGGCATCCTCTACTATCGTAGCAGAAGGTAAGAACGTCAATGACGCCTTGGGCATTATCGTGTCCTACTCTCTCCGTGTGAAGCTGAACTGCGGCGCCATTGGTGGTGACCTGACTGCTGACTTGCCCTTCAAGCTCATGCACCCTGACCCCACCTCTTCCAAGGGGTCACTGCGCAAGATGCAGTCTACTGACAACATCGAATTCGAGGAATTTGCTCGACTTCGTCGCGGCCAGTCCGTCGCTGATGACTAAATCAATAAAATAGAAAAAAAATAAATAAATACGGTCCCTTTTTCAGTTGTTGAGTTAACTCTTTTTTGATATGTTCCACCCCGATTGGCGACGTTAAGAGTTCATTTGTGTTGTTTTTGTTTTATGTTTGATTAGATAATAGTTTTTTGTATTTTTTTCCAAAAAAACGTACTCCTTTTGCCATCTTTTACTTAAACCTCCTTCTTAATAATGAATGACCATGGACAAGTATCTTGAATACTGCATCTCAAGTCAATATATATCTAACACAGGAAATTATATAATTGTAAATGCACATTCTTATGTATATACGTATAAATACTATGCACAGAGCCAATATGCATACAAGTAATACACATACATACATAGGCCTGCCTTTTTAAACACAATATAAGAAAATCGGAAACCTTCAAATGTTTGGAGGAAACAGTCGAACTGACTGTTTCCTCCAAACATTTGAATTTCATATCTTGTAATGTAAAAGAATCATTATTTCTTTCATCCATTATTTTCAACAATTTTAAAATAAAATGACAGCATTAAATTAATTAATTTATTTGTGAACTAAATGTACATATATAACCAAATAAATCAGTAAAATCCAAATGGCAACACCAATGCTGAAAATACAGATAAACCAAAGACCGAAATCTATAAATTTCACATAATACGAAAATGTTGCCAATCACGCTAATGTTCTCCAATTGATGAAATCAACTCCTGATCATGCCGATATTTCTAATTGAACGAAAGGATTACTGATTCGTTGCTTCAGACGACTCAATCATCGGCTACGGACTGGCCGCGACGAAGGCGAGCGAAGTCCTCGAATTCGAAATTGTCAGTGGATTGCATTTTGCGTATGGTTGTCTTGGTGGCGGAGGGGTCGGGGTGCATCAGCTTGAAGGGCAGGTCGGCAGTCAGCTCACCGCCAATGGCGCCGCAGTTCAGCTTCACACGGACGGAGTAGGAGACAATCACACCGAGGGCGTCGTTGATGTTCTTTCCTGCGGCAACCACAGTGGAGGATGCCAAGTTGGCGTCCTGGTCCTTGATTTGGCCGTCGAGGGCGATGCCGAAGCGTCGCTTGTTCACGGAGGCGATGGGGTTGAGGGTGAGGGCCTTGCTGAGGTTGGAGCCCGGGGTGATGGGGCATCCTTCGCGAGACTCGAGCGAGGCCACGACTCGGCTGAACTGGTTGTTGGTCATGGTCACTTCCACGTGTTGCACGACCTGAGCCTTGATGTTCTTGACAGTCTTCCTTGAGCCGTTGTTGATCGACAGATGAGCCTCAACAGGTTGGCCGTGGAAATAGAGCTCACGGTCGAGGTTCACCTCGAGGTTTATCTTGCCAGGAGAGAGCGTGAAGCTCTTGCTGACCAGCGTTTGGGGCTGGCGGTTGCTGATCTCCGGGACGGCGTACTGGACCTTGCGGACGGCGAAGCTGACGGAGTTCCGCTTATGAGGACGTTCCTCCTTGCTGTCAGCCACGTACAACTTCAGTTCGTAGATCACACCCATAGGATGGCTCTGTCAAAAGGAAAACGAAAAAATACAATCTTTTCTAGATAAAATGATTAATTGAACCAAATTATCAAGTGGCGAAGTATTAATTCACGTGTCAAAGATTAAACCCATGTGGCAAAAGACTATGTTAATGTCTCAGAGATTAAATTCATGGCAAAACCCTCTTACAGATGACTCATCCCCGTTGTCCAGAGTGACCGAGCACGGGGCGTTATCCGGGAGAGAGACGCTGATCGGGTAGGCGTTGCTGCCTAGTTTCTTGATGAGTCGTTCCTGGACATCATTCGTCTGGATCTGGCCAGCGTTCGGGGCGACCTCGACGTTAACCAGCTCGAGCTCCTTGCTGAAGTTTAGTCCCATGACCTCATCCTCCTCGCGGCCGTAGCGGTACGTGACCGCCACGCGCGCGAAGACCCTCCTTCCTCGCAGGTAATCATGGTCCACAACAACCACACCGTCCACGGGGGAGGTGTGGGTGATGTGGTCCACGAAGTCCCGCCGACTTAGGTACGCGGTGACTTTACCTGGCGAGAGAGGATTTGCAGGTGTTTATTGTATAACTGCAGTGACAAGAATGTTGCAACTTGTTGAGTCTGTCCTGTATGTGTGTGCGTGTGTGTTCCTGCGTATATGTGTGTGCATGTGTGCTCCTGCGTATATGTGTGTGCGTGCGTGTGATCCTGCGTATATGTGTCCGTGTGTATATGTGTGTGCGTGCGTGTAAGTGTATGTGCGTGTGTGATCCTGCGTATATGTGTGCGTGTGTGCTCCTGCGTATATGTGTTTGCGTGCGTGTGATCCTGCGTATATGTGTGCGTGTGTGCGTGAGTCAGTATGTGCGTATGTGTGTGTATGTGTGTGTGTGTGTGTGTGTGTGTGTGTGTGTGTGTGTGTGTGTGTGTGTGTGTGTGTGTGTGTGCGTGCATGCGTACGTACGTGCGTGTGTAAGTGTAAGTGTGCATGGGCATGTGCGTGGGTATGGGCATGTGCATGTGCATATGCATGTATGTATTCGTATGTTTGGATGTTTTCTTTCTATAAGTATCAGTTATGACCATCAGATTAATCAGCACTCTTTAGCAAAATAATCACATCTAACTGTAATCACTGTCAGATCATCATCTCGTCGAAAGTCCCTCATCAACTCGTTTCACTTTCATGTCATAAACTTTATTCTAATGTTCTCGAGCCCTAATGACTGAATGTTATTGTTATTGATTGTAATCATAATTACCTTTATCCTTTTATTATCCCTATTATCATTATCATCATCATCATTATTACTATTGTTATTCCTTTTTATTAATATTTTTATTTCATTATCATACCTATTATCAGTATTACTATTCTTATCATTATCATAATTATAATCATACTTATTATTGCCATTATTAGGGTCATTATCATTATAATCTATATAATTATTATTGTTACTACTATCACTATCACTATTATCATTATCATGATAATCAATATCACTAGTATTATCAACATTATTTCCATTATCATTATCCTTATAATCTATATCATTAGTACCATCACTATTATTATCATCACCATTATCGTTATCTTTATAATCTGTATTATTAATATTATCATCATAGTCACTATTATCATCATTATAACTATCACCATCATTACCACTATAATCATCATTATCACTCATTATAATCATCATCATTAAGCAACGAATTTACCGACAGCGGGCACTTACCATTAGGTGCAGTCTTCTTGAAAACTTTGACGGCGTTCACCAT